AGGAGGAGGCTGGGAACTCCAAGGAAAGAAAGCGGTGGGAAGGAGTTGAGGTGCATGTACACCAATGCTAGGAGCATGGGTAATAAGCAGGAAGAGCTTGAAGCTCTCCTGGGAATAGGAGGGTATGATCTGGGGGGAATCACAGAAACTTGGTGGGATGAAAGGCAAGTCTGGAATGTGAACATAGAAGGGTATCACCTTTTCAGAAAGGACAGGAAGGGAAAGAGGGGTGGGGGTGTGGCTTTATACAGCAGGGAAGGGATAGGATGTGGTGAGATGGAATGCAGCACAGATGGGGATTTTGTAGAGGCAGTCTGGGTGAAATTTAGAGGTTTTGACAGGGAAAGAGACCTTTCCGAGGGGCAACAAGGGGGGGAAACATCCTTGATTTGGTCTTGACCAAATATTGGTCTTGACCAATAGAGAGGAGCTGATAGATGAGGTACAGATTACGGAAGCTCTGTATGCAAGTGATCACTCCATCCTTTGCTTTGAGATCAGGGGACTGAGGACGTGCAGCAGGTCGAGCACTAGAAGCTGGGACTTCAAGAGGGCCAACTTTGGCCAACTTAAGGCCAGACTGGGGTAAGTCTCCTGGGATAGGTTACTGGAAGGTAAGCAAGTTGAGGAGGGGTGGATGGCACTCAAAAGGGAGGTTTTGGAGGGGCAAGCCTCTAGTTAGGTGGGGAGGCGGAGGAGAATGCCACCATGCATGCGAAAGGAGGTGGTTAGAGGGATTAGACAAAAGAGGAACCTCCGTAGGAAATGGGTACTGGGGCAAATAGACAAAAGGGTATACCAGGAGGAGGAGGCCCGTTGCAGGATTCTTCACAAGCCTAAGGCTGATTATGAGCTGAGACTTGCCAAGAATATCAAGAGCAACAAAAAGGGCTTCTTTCAGCATGTAAATAGGAAGAGGAAGGGGAGACAAGTAGTGGGACCACTAAATAAGGAGGAAGGAGATCCACAGTTATGAGGGAACAGGCTCAGATGCTAAATGACTATTTTGCCTCTGTGTTCTTCCCAAAGCAGGATGGGTGATAATCCGCATGGGAGATTAGATGAGGCTAGCGACTTAGGGGCACAGATTAGAGTCACCCCCCTAGAAGTCGAGGGGCTCCTCAGGGCATTGGACATTACAAAGGCGCCAGGCCCTGACAGGTTACACCCGAGAGTATTTAGAGAGTTGGCAGGGGTTCTCTCATGCCCGCTGGCCTCCATTTTTGAGGCCTTGTGGAGAACGGGTGAAGTTCCTGAGCACTGGAGGGTGGCATCTGTGGTCCCAATTTTCAAAAAGTGTAGTAGAAGGGACATGAGGAATTACAGACCAGTTAGCCTTATGTCCATTGTAGGAAAAACAATGGAAAGGCTCATACTAGAGAGAGATCTAGTGATGCTAGATAGGGAAGGAAGACTGACAACCACAGAAGACGGCTTCCGCAAAAGCAGATCCTGCCAGACAAACCTTGTGGAATTCTACAACAAGGTTTCGAGATGGCTAGATGGAGGGGATGCAGTGGATGTGGTATACCTGGATTTCAGCAAGGCCTTTGACAAAGTACCCATGATATCCTGGTGGAGAAACAGAGGAGTTTTGGGATACACCAAAGCACTGTCCAGTGAATTAGGGCATGGTTGACTTATTGGGATGGCGACCAGTGACAAGCGGGGTCCCCCAGGGCTCTGTCCTGGGGCCAATCCTGTTTAATCTTTTCATAAATGACATGGAAGAAGGGGTGAACAGTCTGCTGATCAAATTTGCAGACAACACTAAAACTGGAGCAGTGGCCACAACTGAGGAGTTGGTACTCCAGATCCAAAAGGATCTGGACAGACTATGGAAGTAGGCAGGAGACAACAGGATGGTGTTCAATGTGGATAAGTGCAAGGTGTTGCACTTGGGGCACAGGAATAGGTTTCATAAGTACAGGTTAGGTGACAAGTGACTGGAGAGCAGCACTTGTGAAAGGGACCTCGGGGTACTGGTTGACTGCTGGCTAAACATGAGTCAGCAGTGTGATGTTGTGGTCAAGAGGGCGAACGACACCCTTGGTTGCATAGCCAGAAGCGTGGCTTCTAGATTGAGAGAGGTATTACTACCATTCTATACGACTCTGGTGTGCCCGCAACTGGAGTATTGTGCTCAGGTTTGGGCCCCTCATTCCAGAAAGGATATAGGCAGGATAGAGTCAGTGCAGCGTAGGGCCACAAGGTTGGTGGCCGGTTTGCAGGGGATGCCATATGAGGCGAGACTGAGGGAACTGGTTCTCTTCAGCCTGGAGAAGAGGAGACTCAGAGGGGATATGTTTATTATTTATTTATTTAAAACATTTCTATGCTGCCCCCATCGCAGCAAAGCCTCAGGGTGGCTCGCAACAAGAACAAACAAAAGCATATAAAATTATACAATAAAAATATTAATATGTTGGCAACATACAGGTATGTGAGGGGATGTCACACGGAGGTGGGTAGCAACCTGTTCTCCCCTGCAGAGGAAGGCAGGACGCGCTCCAACAGAGCAAAGCTCAGGGAGCCAAGGTTTCGTTTGGATGCCAGGAAGCACTTCCTGACAGTCAGGACCCCGAGGGTGTGGAATGGACTTTCACGAGAGGTGATTGAGGCCACATCGGTGAGGGTGTTCAAGGATAGGCTGGACGTCCACATGGTGGGCATGTCGTGAGTGGAGCTGGCTGGTGCTGGAGGTCAGACTAGATGGCCCGGGAGACCCCTTCTCTCTCGCTCTGTTTCTATGTTTCTAATATGGCTACTAACTGTTAAAATGAGGAAGAAGTCAAGCTAGTATATCCGATGTCTTAAATAACTGTTGTTTTTAATATTAGATTGTAGAAAAAAATAATAAAATTTATTTTAAAACAGAAGTAAAAATGATCACAATCTTGTCTCAAGAACCTGTAAACAACCAAGTGTCAGGAGTCGCAAGTGCACAATAAAAGTCTTGTGTGGAACAGCTTGTGTGGAATTTTTTTTTATTTTTTAATCCAGTAGATGTAGAATTTGATGAGCTTGCTTTTGAACTAAAAAGCAGCTGCAGTGATGATGGTGTGATTTGGGGCAGAGCCATGCCATGGGGGCAAGAAAATCAAAATCTTCTGCAATTTCTGGCATTAGGGTGACTCCAGGCCCAAGCTCTACAGCACTTCCACCACCGCCCTTCACCTGAATTGCCAGAAGCCGTACAGGGAGAAGCAAAGTTTTGATCAGGATTAATCACTGCCCAGAAAGCATCAGATGAAGGAGGCAGCAGGGACAGCTCAGCTCCTGGGCCAGCATGTGTCTTTTGGGGCCTGCCAGGGCTCAACCTGGCTGCCACAGCATCCTTCCTTTCTTCAGACATGCACACAAGCTTCATAGTGAGAACAACTGGATGGCCACATGCTCAGTATTTATTATGCAGTAAAATGGCCTCAATCCTTTCCATTTAGGGTTCAGGTCTGCTTTGGGGATGGTCAGCCTCATCAGCTTCTTATGGAAAGGGGTGGGGGAATAAGGCCCTGTTACCTTACCGTGATTTCTTAGCACTTTTTGATGCCACCAACTGCAGTAGACTTCTGGGCCGTCTCTGAATTGGACCTGGGGGCACCATTTAATGATGGTTCAACTCTTTTGGACCTAGCTTCAGAGAATGACATTGAGCAAGTGCAGCTCAGCTCCCTGACCACCAAAATAGGGTGCCACAGGGCAATATTCTGTGCTTAGTATTGTTCAACAGCTGCATGAAGCTGTTGGGAGTCATCATTAGGAGATCTGGGTTGGTGATCCCAAGCTATATTTCTCTGCACTGCCTGAGTCAGATCAGGCCATACACATTCTGAACCAGTGCCTGGATGGCAAGGTGGGCTGCGCAAAGGCCAGTGAATGAAAACTAATGGGATGTTTGACTGTATCAATTCATTCAACAATTTAGAATGAAGCTTTCCAGTGATATGGCGCTTGGGAGAAATTTTGTTCTGGGTACCAGTCTGCTTCTTGGGATAGATAGGCATAACAAAGTTCAAACTCTGAGAATCTCCACTGGTAATGTTTGAGAATTGGAAAGAGAAAAGAACAGCTTATTCTGCATTTTTTCAACCTTACTCAACAAGATTGGCAGGTCCAGTGGGGTGTTCAGTACTTACGTGAAGCCGCTGAAGTAGCTGGTGCCATCTATCCACCTCCAGTGTCCTTCAATATCTCTGTCATGGAGTCCAATCCAGTAACGTTCATTTCTGGTCCGGGTCTGAAGGAAATTCTACAAGACAGGGGGAAATTGGACTAGTGTGATGGAGGATACCTCAGCTTCTATTTTTGTCAGAAAAGTAAGGCTAGGTTAGTTTGGAATCATCTACCTCATGGCCATGCTAGGCACCCCCGTGATGGGTTTTGACACCTATGCCATGTATAAGCATGGACCTTTAGCACCATCTATGCACAAAAGTGGGGGAGCAGCAGGCTTGGGAGAAACCAAGGTTCACAAATAATATTGGGAGGCCCAAATAAGGGAATGCCCAAATATCCAATCCATTTTTCAAATATCTAAAGTCCAAATGCCCAGCCCTAAGGGAATGAGGACCAAGCATGCTCAGTGATGGTGGAATGTAGGCTGACTTTAGATGGAGGAAGGGGATGAAGCCTGGGAGCAGAATGAGGATGGAGTGACCCAGCATGGCTGTCTGGTTGGTTAGAATCCTGAACAAGGAGCATTGTACACTGCAACATTTCAGTGCAGTTTGGCTTGTGTTGTTACATACCCGAGTTTGTATTTTTGTTTCAAAAGCTCTGCTTTTTAGGAATCTTTTTGACACTGACTTGCCTGCTGAGGAACCTCTGCCTGTCTGCCAGGGGATTTGCCCTGGCCTCTTGGGCTTCACTCATTGAAGCTTCCTTGTTGAAGCACATGGCAGAGGCAGAGGGTTTGTGTGGGTGGTGGTGGTAGTGAATGGAGGTAAAACCATATGTGTGAATGGTGTGTGTGAATGAGGCGGAAGTTGTGTGCTGGGGTGTGGGGAATGCCAGCTGTGACTGCCAGAACATAGCACTGGAGTCTCCTTGACCATGCATGACCCTAAATGAAATGCTAGAGACTGACGTCACTAGTGTGGGGATGGTCCTCCTCACAGAAGTGGGTCCACCTGATGGTTCTGAGCAATCCTTTTCTGCAGAGCTGTGCACATTCCAAGAACATTCCCCTGAGCCATGCTGGTAGTTTTTACTGTGGTTGCCCCAACTCCTTCATAGGCTTATTGCCTGCCCTCAGTGGGAGCAAAGATTTGAGGCAGGGAATATCCCTGGGTGAGATAGCAGACTGAGTTCAGACAACACAATAACACAATTGAATTGTGGGTTGTTGTTAAAAGGTAAGTTATTGGATTGTCTGAACCCAGTCAAGATAACAAACCATGATGAATAACCTACGATTCACAACCCCATAACAAATGATAGGGATAATATAAAATTAAGACCCACAATTCAAACAACCCACAGTTCAACAACAACCCACATTCATATCATGGTCAGCCCCGAGTGTGGGTTATAATGTCTGAACCTAATACCAGCTTTTCCTTGTACCATTGACTGGGAACTTGCATCAGCCCTGTCTGCTCTGCTGGAATTTTCTTCCAAAGTAGGGGAGGCAATCTGGGCGTTCTAGTTGGATTCTTGCTCCCATCAGCTGCAGCCAATATGACCAAGGACATAAGTTGATGCAAATAATTTCTGGAAGGCCACTGGCCACCCATACTGACAGCAAAGGAAGTAGATCTTCTTTTTACCTGTTCAGGCATATCGTTGACAATGACCAACATTGATTGCCTATCCTCACACTGAACTTTGGCCTGCATCCAGGAGGTTTTCTCATAGGAGAAGTAGTAGCATTTTCCATTGAAGTATTCCCATTGTCGCGTCTCAGGACCACATGGAAATACTGGGCAGAAGGAAAAATGGTGACATTGGTTGGAGCTCGAGTGCAGAAGCGCTGCCTTGACATGCACCAAAAAAGCAGAGTAGTAGAAGAGCACCTTTGTAACTAGGGATGGGCTGAGAGGGCTGAAAAAAGCTTTTAAATGCGAGCTATGCTTCAGGTATCCAAACCCCAGGAGCAAAAGAAAATTTCAAGATCCACGGTTACGCAATTCCTTGATTAGAACCAACCAAAATGCCACCAGATTGTGTGCACAACCGTTCCTAAACAAGGCTTTGTGGTGTGCTTGTTATTCCTCAGTCAAGTGTGGTTGATCGGTGGTTTAGATGACATTGTCATGAGCTTCCCAGTGCACGTCTGTTTTTAAAAGCTCTTTCATGGGGTTTCAGGAGTGAGGGAAATCCAGCACAATGGATGTGATTGCATTATTCTGCTGTACCACAGTGCCACCTGGAGGTTATACAGCAGGAAATAGGGAAAGACAGGAAAGAAAAAGCTCCTTGGGTAGAAATCTGGTCTCAGTCCTCCCATGACACTGGAAGCAAATAAAATGGATCAGCAGGCTTGTTGAGAAAAGCTCAAAGGTATTGCCATAACTGTGGATTCTGGATTTTTTCCCTGTGGAATTCAGATGTTTTCTGCCTGTTGTATGGTCTCAGAGATTAGGGTTTGTGATCTCGAATGAGTTTGGAAAGTTGCTGTGGCTGCTTTTTTAAAGTTACCAGTTGAATCACATTTTTAAAGTGTGTTTTGAATAACATGCCATAGAGATTTGAACCCAGGTTATTGGCTAGCTCTCCATCCACTGAGTTATTCTGGGCGCCTAATGAGCAAACCATTCACCATCACAGTAGTCCAAGTCTATGCCCCAACCACTGGTGCTGAAGAGGCTGAAGTTGATAGGTTCTATGAAGGCCTACAACACCTTCTAGAATTAACACCAAAAAATGATGTCCTTATCATCATGGGGGATTGGAAAGCTAAAGTAGGAAGCCAAAAGATAACTGGAATAACAGGCAAGTTTGGCCTTGGAGTACAAAATGAAGCAGGGCACAGGCTGGTAGAATTTTGTCAAGAGAATACGATGGTCATAGCAAACACTCTTTTCCAAGAGATGAGTCTACACATGGACATCACCAGACGGTCAACACAGAAATCAGATTGACTATGTGCTCTGCAGCCAAAGATGAAGAAGCTCTATGCAGTCAGTAAAAACTAGACCAGGAGCTGACTGTGGCTCAGATCATGAGCTTCTGGTTGCAAAATTGAGGCTTAAATTGAAGAAAGTAGGGAAAAGCACTAGGCCACTCAGGTATGACCTCAATCATATCCCTGATGAATATATAGTAGAGGTGACCAATAGATTTAAGGAATTAGATCTGATAGACAGAGTGTCTGAAGAACTATGGACTGAGATTCGCAACATTGTACAAGAGGTAGCAACTAAGACCATCCCAAAGAAAAAGAAATGCAAGAAAGCAAAATGGCTGTCTGAGGAAGCTTTACAAATAGCTGAGGAAAGAAGGGAAGCAAAAGGCAAGGGAGAAAGAGAAAGGTACACCCAATTGAATGCAGAATTTCAGAGTATAGCTAGAAGAGATAAGAATGCCTTCTTAAATGAACAGTGCAAAGAAATAAAAGACTACAATAGAATAGGGAGGACCAGAGATCTCTTCAAGAAAATTGGAGATATGAAGGGAACCTTTCATGCAAAGATGGGCATGATAAAGGCCCAAATGGCAGGGACCTAACAGAGGCAGAAGAGATTAAGAAGGTATGGCAAGACTACACAGAGGAACTATACAAGAAAGAGCTTAACATCCCTGATAGCCATGATGGGTTGGTCACTGACCTCGAGCCAGACATCCTGGAATGTGAAGTCAAATGGGCCTTAGGAAGTCTGAGCAACAACAAAGCTAGTGGAGGTGACAGTATTCCAGCTGAGCTATTCAAAAACTTAAAAGACGATGCAGTAAAAGTGCTACGCTCAATATTCCAGCAAATTTGGAAAACTCAACAGTGGCCACAGGATTGGAAAACGTCAGTTTACATTCCCATCCCAAAGAAGGGCAATGCCAAAGAATGTTCAAACTACCACACCATTGCACTCATTTCACATGCTAGCAAAGTTGTGCTCAAAATCCTACAAGCTAGGCTCCAGCAGTATGTGGACCAAGAACTACCAGAAGTACAGGAAGGATTTTGAAGAGGAAGAGGAACTAGAGATCAGATTGCCAACATATGCTGGATCATGGAGTAAGCTAGGAAGTTCCAGAAAAACATCTACTACTGCTTCATTGACTATGCTAAAGCCTTTGATTTTGTGGATCACAACAAATTGTGGCAAGTTCCTAAAGAGATGGGAGTACCTGACCATCTTATTTGTCTCTTGAGAAACCTATATGTGGGTCAAGAAGCAACAGTGGGAATTGGACACGGAATCACTGATTGGTTCAAAATTGAGAAAGGAGTTTGGCAAGGCTGTATACTGTCACCCTGCCTATTTAACTTATATGCAGAGCACATCATGAGAAAGGTGGGCCTAGATGAATCACCAGTTGGAATTAAGATTGCTGGGAGAAATATCAACAACCTCAGATATGCAGATGATATCACTCTCATGGCAGAAAGTGAAGAGGAACTAAAGAGCCTCTTGATGCGGGTGAAGGAGGAGAGTGCAAAAGTTGGCTTGAAACTCAACATTAAGAAAACTAAGATCATGGCATCTGGTCCTCTCACTTCCAACAAAAGTGCGTATAGTCAAGGCTATGGTTTTCCCAGTTACAATGTATGGCTGTGAAAGTTGGTCCATAAGGAAGGCTGAGCACCAAAGAATTGAGGCCTTTGAATTGTGGTGCTGGAGGAGACTCCTGTGAGTCCCTTGGACCGCAAGGTGATCAAACCGGTCAGTCCTAGAGGAGATCAACCCTGACTGCTCCTTGGAAGGCCAGATAGTGAAGATGAAACTCAAATACTTTGGCCACCTAATGAGAAGGAATGACTCTGGAGAAGAACCTAATGTTGGGAACAATAGATGGCAAAAGGAGAAGGGGATGGCCGAGAATGAGGTGGCTAGCTGGAGTCACTGAAGCAGTTGGCGTGAGCTTAAGTGGACTCCGGGGGATGGTGGAGGACAGGAAGGCCTGGAGGAATGTTGTCCATGGGGTCACGATGGGTTGGACGTGACTTGGCGACTAACAACAACAAATGAACTGGTGCGTGTGAGAGCTAAACAGGAGCCTGTTTCATGAGAAGAACAGCCAGGCTGGCTTGCAGTGGATGCTCATAGGCCAAGAGATGGCACAATAAGAACAGTTTTGGTAGCAGAGTTTTGGTTGGAGAGCACAGCCCATTACTATGTGGAAGGGGAAAGCTACTTAGTGCCTTCCAGAAATTTCAGACTACAATCCCCATAATCCCTGAATATTGGCCTTGTTGCAGAGAGCTGAAGTCCAAAATGGTATGAAGACTACCAGGTTGCCTACTGCTGGCCAAAGGGAAGGGGACAAGGAAGCCCTCATCCACAGCAGTCTTTCCCAAGTCAGGATCTGCTAGTTATGCTGGACTGCAACTCCCATCTTTCCCAGCTAGCATTGGTTGGGAATTGCAGCCCAACACATCTGGAGGGCACCAAGTTGGTGGAGGTAATCCTAGGTAGGCTAAAAAGCATTGCTAAGCCTTTGAACTGCAGTTCCAGGGCCTAGCCTGCTTCTCAGTGTCTTCAGAAGAAATGATCACATCTAAGGGAAAGAACCATAGACTAGGTGGGGGATGTCTATCCTTCACAAAGCTCACCCTCAACTCTCCAACTCCACCCTTCTAATGGCTAAGCCATATTCCTTTCCAGAATCTTCTCATGAACCAGGATGGAGCGATGGAGAACTTTTCAACATGAGCCATCTATTATGCATGAGTTCTGTGGGTTCTTTAGAGGACTTTGGCTTCTATTTTTTCAGAGTACTTTCAATGTTTCCCCTTCTGGAATGGGGAAAATGGGGTATTATTTCAGATAGCACTGTTTCTATTTTTGTACTTGTGCTATTCCACTGCAGCACAGCTCCACCTAGAGGTTATAGTGCAGAAAAGCAGGAAAGGGAAAGTTCTTTGTAAGGCACTTGAATCTCAATTCTGTGATGAAACCAGAATTTGGTACAGCAGGTTTACAGCCTTGTGCAGCAAAGCCTGGGGAGGTAACAGGTGTTATCCTTTTTGAAAACACTCAGGGAATAATATGACACTTGTGATCAGTGTGGGGAAATGCAAAAGCTCACTCCAGAGAACCAATGCATGCCCCCAGCTACCCCCCACCCCCTCAGCATCACACCTGAGCTTCCAGAATCTGCACCTTCCAGTTTTAGAGTCTGAGACTTGGAGAGACCTGGTGACCCCTTCAGCAGGATACGCAGAGAGACTTACATTCATGATCAAGTCCAGGTTTTGGTTTTGGACGTTCAGTGTTCATTGTGCTCAGCTCCGATGAAAGAGATGTTGCTGAAAATGTATACAGAACAGAAGAGGTTGGGGGAGAGGAACTTCAACAGCTGAAATTAAAATTTTAGGAGCCAGTATAGAGAATACAAGCGTCACATACCACCTGCTACTTCATGTTGGCTCTCAGATACTGTCAATATGGCTGACCAACATGGCACACTTATCACCCTAGCCGGACTCTATCCAGTGATGATGGTGAAAGGAGGGACCACAGCTCAGAGATACTGTTTTGCATTTGAGGGTCCCCAGTTCAATGCCTGGCATTAATCTTCAGTTAAACAGGATCTTGTGCAGAAGGGGAGAAGATGGATGCCACCAAGATAGGATGCTGCTGGGAGTGAGAAAGATGGCTGCTTTGGGTGCTTGCACTCCAGGACTGCTGGCTGGACTTCAGAGGAATCAGAATCAGAATCTGGAGGATACCTTGGGGTGTGGGGAATGTGGGACAAGCTGAGGCACTGAGATGAGAGCAGTGGAAAATCTTATCCCAAGACCAGACTTCCCAGGGGTTCAGGCAGATGTACACTGGGTGGGAAAGGACTTGGAGCAGGGGAGTTTCTGAAACTCAGGCAGGGCAGCCCTGGCTCTAGATCCCATAATGCATCAACAGCTGAGGAGGGTGGCCCAATTAGAGGATGGGTGTGCAGAGAGGAGGTCCCTCCCAAAGAGATGGGGCCAGGCATGCCCATAAGGAGAGTTCCTGGAGGTGAATACTAGATTGGGTTCAACAAAATGCTCTGTGCATGCCCAGAGATTCATTCTGGTGCTTTGTTCTTTTGGTCAATAAAGAATGCTTTGCAAGGAAAATGGTCTGTGACTTTGAATGTGCAAAAGAGGAACCCCAACTCACTACAGATGCAATCTGGTGATGCCTCAGCCAGCTTCGTTTCTCTGAAGCACTGTGGCTAGACAGCCAAAATTGGCTATCCAGTTGTTTTACAGGGCAAGAGGAGACCAGAGGAGAGTGTCACATTCGTGCTTCCCCCATGCTGCATAGCATGCCCACAATTCTCCAAGTCTGGAGGGTTCCAGGCATCTCTGCAGGACTGTGGCTGCCTTCATCTTTAAAAAGCCCCAGAGCAACTTATTTATTTACATATTTAGAGTATTTGTATGCCGTCCTTTCGCATAGCCTCAGGACGGCTTACATAAATAAAAAGAATAAAATAAAACATAATACAAATAAAATCCAGATCCAAATCCAGATTAAAACCTATATAGCTAATGTTAAAAGTTATTAAAATATTGTTGAAATAAAAAGGTCTTAGCCTGGCGCCAAAAAAACAAATAACAACAGCTCCAGGCAGACCTCTCTGGGGAGCACATTCCATAGGCGGGGCGCCAGCGCAGAGAAAGCCCTCCTCTGGGTACTTTGCCTCCTAAAGTCTTTCACGGAGGGTTCCCAGAGGAGGGCCTCTGCTGCCGATCTCAGGGGGCGGGAGGGCATATACGGAAGAAGGTGTTCCTTTAGGAACACTGGCCATGTGGCCTGGAACTGATGGGAGCCGTAGTCCAGAATTTGGTGGTTGCCTAGCCCTGACATGGAATCAATGGCTGAAATTTCTTTTGGGAGAGCCTTGGCAGTGAGGTCCACTATGAAAAAGGAAAATAAAGAGGAATGGGATCCCTGCAGATATGCTGAAGAAATATCCCCATGCCAAGTCTCCTGTAAAAAGAGGATAACAAAATTGTTCAAATATAACATACAGGAAGAGAATTAATCAAGGAAGGCTTAGATCAGAAGCAGAAACACACAGCAATCACTTCTGAATGTCTGAAAAAATGTCAAAATGTCAAAAATGTCTCCTTTCTCCCCTCTTCAGATATCACAATGCAGTTTCAGTTCAGTGCCAAGCGATGGAGACTATGTGATTAAAGGTCCCCTAATAACATTGTCATGTTTGAGGGGTACAGCTCCCCACCCCAAAAGAATATACTGGGGCAGTTTGAAGAACTGCTTTAAGAGGAAGAACTTAGTTCACCTGTGGAGAAGCTCTTGGGGTGGAATTCAAGAGCTGGGCAGGGCCGAAGACCAAAGGGACAGGGCTCCGGGCAAGAGATGATGCTCCCAGATTATCTTTTCTTCAAGGAACTCACCATATGCTCTGAAACCCAAGTCTCTACTTCAGCTGGTAAGGTGCAGAAAGCTTAGTGAGATCAAGTTTTTGCTGTAATTTGAAAGTTTGATTTCTCTCCTCTTCTTTTCTCCTCTTCCAACTATGTTCAAAGCCAGTCACCAAATAAACTATGTTCCTGTTCAATGTGTATTATGCATGAGCAGTTGGTTTCACTCATTTAAAAAGTGTGTTGCTCTGGATTGCTAGACTCTAAGGGTGCTAAATTGCCCCACGCATCCTAAGAGTATTTCCAAAAGCTCTGTTAAATTCTGGTCTTTGAGGAATTAACTCTGAAGATCCTTTCTTTTTTTTACTATATCCACAGTTGGCAATCGTAGAGGTCTATTTTAAGTTGCTTGGTTATATTTAAAAAACAATGAAATCTATAATTTCATTGGTGTCCAGTTTCATTAAGGCTGATTATTATTTTGTCAGTCATCCAAGAGATAGACAGACAGACAGACAGACAGACAGATAAGGGTGGTGTACAATTTTCTAAAGTAACTCAAGATGCAATCCTATGTATCTTTAGACGGGAAAAGGTCATACAATTCTCAGCATTTTCTACTAGCATGACAGGCTAAGGAATTTAGTAGCATTTATTAAACTGGTGGTGCAGTGGTTTAAACCGCTGTGTTGCTGGGCTGGTTGATTGAAAGGTTGCCAGTTAGAATCTGCACAACAGGGTGAGTTCCCATTGCTCTGTCCCAGCTCCTGCCAACCTTGCAGTTCGAAAGCATGCAAATGCAAGTAGATAAAAAGGTACCACTTCGGTGGGCAGGTAACAGTGTTCCGTGCACTTTGGTGTTTAGTCATGCTGGCCACATGACCACGAAGACTGTCTGAGGACAAACTCTGGCTCCCTCGGCTAGGAAACAGAGATAAGCACCGCCCCCTAGAGTCAGGCATGACTGGACTTAATGTCAAGGAGAAACCTTTACCTTTATTAAATTGGTGGTGGGGGAGGGGGGACACGTGGCTCATGTGAAAGTGCAGGACTGCAGCACCTATCAGCCCTAGTCAGCATAGCCAGTGGTGAGGAATGATAGGCACTCAATATCTGGAGGGCCACACATCTCCCACTTCTGCATTAAATGGTACATTGCAAAATGCAACTCTTCAACAGAGCCAAAGCCAAGAAATCCTCTCCTCTACAGGTGAAACTTTTGGAGAGAAAAAGAAGGATAACTCGAAGTAAGTACCTTTAGAAACAGCCACAATGAGGAAAATGGCACTCAGCAGGCAAGAGACACCCAGCAGTACATAGATGTAGAAGATGGATCCCTGGATGCAATGTCTGCCTTTAGAAAGAAAGAAAAGAATGGAAAACAGTGGTGAAATCAGTAGCAGAGAACCTGCTTCACTGAGAATTGGTAATCATGCAGAGATCCAGTGCATGCTAAGAGCATCAGTGAGTCAACCCGCCAATCACAAGGGCATTGTTCTTCTAGTGGTGAAGCTTTTGCCACTCACTGGCTGAGCTTGCATGGCTTATTTTCAAGATCAAATGACTTATCTTGGAATGTTTGTGGCTTATTTTATTGAGAAGTAGATGCTCTGGATGTAGTTATTTCCTGCTTGTGCCACAGCTGTAGCATGATCTGATGGATCTGTAGGATGATGGGCATCTGCTACAGGTGCCACCTTTCCCTGAGATGGTGCTCCCAAAGACCTTGGACCAGAGCATCTGCCATTTCTGTCCATTAGCCATCTTGGCTAGGGCTACAAGATTTGCAAAAGTATCATAAAGTATGCAATAGCCACTTATCATCCATCCCTCTTGAACCCCTCTAGAGGTCTTGAACCATGGTTCCTATTCCTAAATGTTAGCCATGTTAACTTAATGGGAGTTAGTCTAAAACATCCAAAGAACTGGTGTGGCGTAGTGTAGAAATGCTATTTTTAGCATTTCAGGGCTGGGACTCAGAGGATCTGGGTTGTTGTCCCTGCTCAGCCATGGAGCCAACTCTTGGCTTTGGGCCAGTCAGAAACAATCAGCCCAACCTACTTTGCAGGGCTTATTTGTCATACAAGGAACTCATGGTGGCTTACATAATTCTCCTCCAGAAGAGGAGGGGGATTATGGAAGCCACTCTGAATTCCTTGAAAGGAAAAAAGGTAGGATATAAATATAACAAACAAATAGAGCACCAGGCTGAAGACAACAAGTTCAATGGGATTAAGTAAAGGGACAAGCCTGTATGTTACAATTCAAGGCACAGTATATACTGTGAAGCAGCAGGTGGAAAGCCCAAAGCTTTTGAAACTTGTCCCACTATTACCTGTCCCTCCCCATCATCTCTCCCTGCTGCTTTTTCCTGCAGCATGGCAAATGTCTTGTCTTGGGGCCTGATTTTGAAAATCCAGCTGGTTGATTTGGCTTTGAAGTGAAAATGGAAAGGGATGGGGTATGTCCATCTCTCCCACCCCTCTTAGCAAGAAGTCACTCCACTCTTGCTTTGTATCTGGTTTTTGGTGATTTATGTTCCAAAAGATGGATCTGCTACCATCAAATCTAATTTGATCCTTATTACAGCAGGGAATTTAAAAATAGCATTCCTACACAAGGGTGTTAATCTGCTGTTTTTATTTTCGGTTTCACTGTAGAAATGAGATTCAAGCACTTTGCAAGAAGGGTTTCTTTCCCTGCTTTTTCATTACATAACCACTAGGTGGCACTGTGGTCTAGTGAAATATTACAAGCACACAAGAGGAAGTTGTAATTAATTTCACTTTCACAATTAAATACTGATTTTTTCCTGCTCTAAAACAAACCAGCAAACTGAGGATGGACAGAAAGTACATCTCCAGATGTTTTGGACATCAATACCTGGCTTCCTGATCATTAGTACTGCTGGCAGGGGCTTCTGGGAATTGAACTCCAAAACATCTAGAGCTCTTCCTTTTGGGCACCTCTGCCTTAGACAAACACATTTACTGTGGCATCTACCTTTGTGCACTATATTCCACTTTCTTAGAAGCTGGAAAAAAGAGGGATAAAAATAAAAGAAACAAAAAGATAGAACAAAAAGAAAAAGGAACATTAAATATTGGACAATGGTTATCTTGTCAAGTAGGAACTGGGATTTGGATCATGGTTCATTATTTTAGGCATGGAGGTGGGGCAGCATGCACATCACCAAAAGAGAGAGAGGGGCAAAGAATTTTGCATAAAATGTGATAACTGATTTCTCCAATACAATGAAATGCTTCTCATTTTATTGGAGAAGGCTGTGATCAGGTAAACTTGCACCTATGCCATTTTCTGTCCAGTTGCTAAAAGTTGATGAGTGACTTTAGGGCTCCTGCTCTCCCTTCTTAGGGCTCTTTATCTGTACGCAGGATTTGGTCTATACAGCCTTCCAAACAGAGGATGCTTTCAAATGCTGTCCTCTGTAAAGTGTGGAAGTTGGCTACCTAGTCTCCTATGGAAAACAACCAGCTCCCATTCTCTTGTGGAACAAGCAGTTCTATAGGTGAAGGGTTACTGCAAGGGCCTTCTCTACTCTTCCTTCTTCTGCTTTTTTATCTGCAAATCAAAATCAGAACAAGTAACCCTACAAAAAGAGAACTCTGCCACTTTTTCAAGTCGAGGACTGCACTCTGCAAAGCAAGACACTTGGTCATTCTATTTACTACTGCCATATTATGCTAACTGTATGAATATACCATCCATGCTCCAAATTTAGACTCAAAAGTTAAAGCATATGTTGTTTTTAAATAAAGGATCACATGTCCTTCAAATTCCTAAATGGAAACCTCAAATCCCAGCTTCAAGAAGAAGAGGATCATTACCAGTATAAGTCCGGAAGTCATCTTGAAACTTTTGATCCTCCATGTTGTGGGGTGCAAAAATGATGTTGTTGGATTCAGAGGTCCTTCTTTGCAGATCTTGATTTTCTAAAGTTGGGACTTTGCAGTTTACCTTGCCTTTTCCATGATCAAAGTTAATCTGTAACTGGTGGCAGTGAGGCAGACCACATCCCTGCTCTCTGTCTTGATGCCTCCAGATTTTGGAATTCAGCCACATCTGAAGCCTCACTCACTGAATGCCTGTTCAAACAGAACCCTTGGATAATTTATTATTTATTTATTTCACCTCGTTTTCTTGGCCAGAGAGCAATGGCAATCAAGCAATCCCTGGAAAAATTCTGGAACAGATGATAAAGCAGTCAGTCTGCAAATACCTGGAAAACAATGCAGTAATCACTAGAAGCCAACACGGATTTCTCAAGAACAAATCCTGCCAGACTAATCTAATTTCATTTTTTGACTGGGTAACCTCTCAGATGGACTGTGGGATGGTGTGGACATAGTCTATCTTGACTTTAGCAAAGCTTTTGATAAAGGGTCCCATGATCTCCTGATTAGCACACTAGCTAAAAGTGAGCTAGATGGAACAACAATCAGGTGGATCCACAGTTGGCTACAGTATTGGACTCCAAAGAGTGCTCATCGGTGACACCTTCTCAAATTGGGGAGAAGTATCAAGTTGGGTGCCGCAGGGTTCAGTCCTGGGCCCAGTGCTCTTCAACATTTTTATTAATGATTTGGATGAGGAAGTGAAGGGAACAATTATCAGATTTGCAGAAGACACAAAACTGGGTGCAATAGTGAATGCCCTGGAAGACAGAAAGAAGATCCAAGGAGATCTTACTAGGTTAGAAAACAGAAACAGAAAACAGTTGTTGTGCTGAAACAACAGAACAAAATTCCTTAGGAACAAATGCCAAGTTCTGCACCTAGGGGGAAAAAATGAACAAATGCATTGCTACAAGATGGGGAATACTTGGCTCAACAATACTGCATGTGAGAAGAATCTTGGAATTGTTGTAGATCACAAGCTGAATACAAGTCAACAGTGCGATGTGGCTGCAAAAAGGGTAAATGTTATCTCAGGCTGCATTAATAGAAGTTTCATTTCCAAATCATGTGAAACACTAGTTTCCCTTTACTCAGCACTGGTCAAGCCTCATCTGGAGTACTGTGTCCAGTTCTGGGCACTGCAGTTTTACAAGGATGCAGAAAAACTGGAAGAGGTTCGGAGGAGGGCAATAAGGATGATCCAGAATCTGGAAACTAAGCCCTCTGAGGAAAGATTGAGAGAACTGGGCATGTTCAATCAGAAGACTGAGGGGAGATATGATAACACTCCAAAGTACTTGAAAGGCTGTCGCAAAGAGTGCAGGACATGGAATAATGGACTTAAGTTACAGGAAACCAGATTCTGATTATATATCAGGAAAATTTTAGAGCAGTATGACAATGTGACCAATTACCTAGGGAGATTATGGGCTCTCCCACACCAGAGGCATTCAAGATGCAACTGAACAGCCATCTGAGAGGGATGGTTTAAATGGTTTAACTGGAAGTCCTACACTAGCAGTGGGTTGGACCCAATGGCCTTTTAGGCCCTTTCCAACTCTACTATTCTGTGATTGTGTGGCTTACAACTTCCTTGCACAGAGCATTAGCTTTGCCAGTAAGCAGCAGAGTAAATAGGCCCACATTTGTTTTCTGCCAGACTTTTATTGACAAGAGTCCTCTCTGATGGTTATGAAGAATGGTGGCTTGTGCATTGATAAAAGTAGAGCAGAAAATCTGTTGCAGGGTTTGTGGCTCAAGGCTTAAATGGCCTAGAGCCAGGATATTTGCAGGACTGCCTCTTTCTGTATAAACCTGCAATCAGGTGAGGTCTTCTTTGGAGCTTCTGCTCTGCATTTTGCCACCCAGGTGCAAAATAGAAGAGAACTCCTCTCTCTTGTGCAGAGAAGTCCTCTCTCTCTCTCTCTCTCTCTCTCTCTCTCTCTCTCTCTCTCTCTCTTTCTCTCTCCAACACCCCACTGCCTTTCCTGATCACACTGGTGTCACTTTTGGTACTATAGCCTCTCCCAGTGTGTTGGTGCCTTGGATGTCTTAGACTACAGTTTCCAGGATTCCTTACCATGGGCTAGGTTGCCAATGAGGACTGAAGTCTAGAACATCTGGAGGACACCAGGTTCTGGGAGGTTGGTGTGCACTGCAGCATTCTTGCCTTGATACAGCAAAAGGGCAAGATAGTTGCCAGTACTTATTTGGGTTGGAAACTGGAGAGGGGTCTTTGGGAAGCCTCTTCCCTTTCTTCATCTCTAGGATCCCTGAAAAGGATATGCAGAGTTCTGGAGGCAGGGAAAAGCATTCAAAGAAAGGGAGACTTAAATTTGTGTGAAAGGAATAAGCAGGACAGAGCTGTTCCTCCATAAATATGATCTCAGTAATAAAGCAAGCTCAAAAAGGAGATCAAAGTAATCATGTGAAGCCCTGATTTCTGTAAGGGTTACAACAAACATAGCAGGTAGGGCACTGTTACTATTTTCATATTATCTGCAAGGGCAGCTGTGCAGACTTCCGAGATCAGAAGAAGAGGAACTTCCTTTGTGGATTTGCAGCTGTTGGCATAACCTTCAACACTGAAATGTGAACAGAGTCAAAATCAATAGTTCTTGTTGGTTTCAGCTACCTGTAAACATTACAATACATTCTAATTCAGGGAGCCAGTAATCCCAAGAACTGTTCTATTGACTTGTTGTTCTCATAACTTGGTTTGGTTCAGATTGCATTGATCTTCAGCTACTTTGAATACTTTATAAGAACATGGGGTACCAAATAGTGAATGAACATAAGTTATTCAGAATGGTCTCAGTCCTAAATTTAATGGATCCCAGCTAAGGGGGCTCAGCCAGGCCAACCAGCCTTAAGATATGCCACCAGCATGACACCAGGACACTCCAGCCTGGGAAAAACAGATGTGTAATCAGTACCACCTTATTCCCTCCAAGAAGTGGAAGCAGCAACCTCAGCAGAGAGGCAGGATAAAGTGTTAGGGAAGGCACATAAGCTGTATCAGAGGGCATGTAGCATGGGCTTTAAATCTCTCTGACCCCATGTTTTCCAGATTCTCACACAGGGGAATTTAGGGAAGAACTTGATCCAACTGCTAATGCATCCCTGCTTTGGCTAGATTCCTACCAGGACCTCAGGATTTATTATTATTAATATTAATATTAATATTATTATTATAACATTTCTATGCTGCCCCTTGCTGAAGCCTCGGGGCAGCTTACAACACAATAAAATACATTGAAATACAACAGAACATAATAAATTACCATTAAATACAAAAATACAAAAAATACACTGAGTTATGAACATAATAATATAAAATTAAAATTATCAGTATAAAATAAGTAAATAAATAATATAGGAGGAGAAAAGAGAAGGAAGAAGAAAGTTGCCCTGGCCAGATCATATATTTTAACAATTAAAATGATGTTTAAATAAAAAGGTCTTTACCTGGTGCCGAAAAACCAGTAACGACGGTGCCAGGCGGACCTCTCTGGGGAGTGAATTCCATAGGTTGGGCGCCACCGCAGAGAAAGCCCTCCTCCGAGTACTTACTCTCCTAATTTCTTTCATGGAGGGTTCCCGGAGAAGGGACTCTCCCGCAGATCTCAAAGGGCGGTCGGGCATATATGGACGTAAGCGCTCGTTCAGGTAGCCGGGACCCAAGCCGTTTAGGGCTTTATAGGCCATAATCAACACCTTGAATTGGGCCCGGGCTTCAATGGGAAGCCAGTGAAGCTGACGGAGGACTGGAGTCATGTGAGCATAATGCCCCGTCCCCGTCAGCAACCTGGCAGCTCTATTTTGCACCAATTGAAGTGTTCGGACCGTCTTCAGGGGAAGCCCCATGTAAAGCGCGTTACAGAAGTCTAGGCGGGAAGTCACCAGTGCGTGTGTCACCGTCGCCAGGCAGTCGTACTCCAGGTAGGGGCGCAGCTGATTAATCAGCCGAAGCTGAAGGAAGGTGCTCCTCGCCATCGCTGTCACCTGAGCTTCCAATGAAAGCTCCAGGTCGAGGAGTACTCCTAAGCTGCGGACCTTGTCCCTAAGAGGGAGTGTTGCACCGTTCAGGACCAGGTCAAATCCACCCTCTCCGAAGCCCAATCCGCCAACCAACAGGACCTCCGTCTTGTCTGGGTTGAGTTTCAGTTTATTGGCCCTCATCCATTCCATTACCTCGGCCAAGCACCGGTTCAGCACAGCCACTGCCTCACCTGGATTAGTGGAAAACGAGAGGTAGAGCTGGGTATCATCAGCGTATTGATGATTCCGCAGCCCACACCTCCTGATGACCTCTCCCAGCGGTTTCATATAGATGTTAAATAGCAGAGGGGATAGGATGGAGCCCTGTGGTACTCCATGGCATAGCTGCCATGGCGCAGAGACATGGTCCCCCAGCACTACCTTCTGGAATCAGCCGTTGAGATAGGAGCGGAACCACTGCAAAGCAGTGCCTCCAACCCCCAATCCTGCTAGCCTATCCAGAAGGATACCATGGTCGATGGTATCGAAAGCCGCCAAGAGGTCCAGAAGAACCAACAGGGATGCACTCCATCTGTCCTTCTCCCTGCACAGGTCATCGTACAGGGCAACCAAGGCAGATTCAGTACTGTACCCGGGTCTGAAGCCGGACTGAAAAGGATCCAGATAATCAGTTTCATCCAAGAGTGCTTGGAGTTGTCCCGCCACCACTCGCTCCAACACCTTGCCCAGAAACGGGATGTTGGCCACAGGTCTATAGTTAGTGGCCATCTCTGGATCCAGTGACGCTTTCTTCAGGACCGGTCGTATTACTGCCTCCTTTAAAGGGGCAGGCACTTGACCCTCCCTCAGAAAAGCGTTAACCACTTCCAAGATCCAGGTCCCAATCCCGTGCTTGGAGTTATTTATTAACCAAGACGGGCAAGGATCCAATAGGCAAGTGGTAGGACGTACTTGTCCAAGCACCTTGTCCACATCATCGGGCTGCAATAACGGAAATTCCTCCAATAATTTTGGACCAGACGGTAGCATTGGCGTCTCCCCAGAGACCTCTGATTCATTAGTGGAGTCCAGCTCG